ATGGAGGAGGGGGGGAGAGAATTCTGTCCCAAAGAGGAAAAAAAGGATTATCTAATCATTTATCTGTATAAATACAATGAAATCAACTGGGAAGAATAACAACCATCTTTTTGTCCTGAAGATGACCCCTCTTCCACAGTGTTCTCTAACCTGGACCTGTGACAAACTTCAGCATCATTTCGGACTTAATGGTCATGCTGTGTCGGGTCCCTCCCATTCCCACTGACTTGCCTGGCTCTAGGCAGCCTTCTCCCTGTCGGCTAAGGGTCACATCATCGTGCCAACAGGGAAACCCACTAACTGGGAGAGTTCTTTCTGTGCCTTCCGGAATGCCCACACGTAATCCACATAGATCCAGGTGTCCCACCCCCATGCCCACTACACCCTTAGATACAGCACACCCCTCTACATGCACCCTTCCCCTCACTATGCTCCACACCCAGAGGGTCAGGGGGTGAGAAAAGTTCTTTAAAACCACGCTGAGACTGTGTCACCTATGGTGGACACGAGCTGCATCCCCCCATGGTGGACACGAGCTACATCCCCCATGGTGGACATGAGCTGCATCCCCCCATGGTGGACACGACCTGCATCCCCCCATGGTGGACTCGAGCTGCTTCCCTCCATGGTGTACATGACCTGCTGTGAATTTCTGTCTTCCCAGCCACCATGGCATATACCAACCCCTTTGCTGGCTGCCTGTACTGCTTACTAAAACCCAAGCTCACAGGTCACAAAGGGTTCTCTCTGGTTTGGCCCTCTATGGCACAATGCCACGGTGCAATGCCAGCACCTGGTGACCCTCCTCAGAGCACCAGGGCCTGGCTTGCTCATGCCACTGCACAACACGGCTTCCATCACAGCCCTGACTTTCTGAGCTATAACACAGCCAATATGATCATTCCAAATGATTTTTCTCTAGGCCATTTTTTGAGACAGTCTCACTCTATAGACCAAGCTAGCCCCAAACTCAAGGCAGTCCTGTCTCAGTCTCCCAAATGCTGGGATTACAGGTTGGAAAAGTCAAATGTGACACACTGCTTCTGAGTGCTACACGGGGACCGACTTAAGGTCTGGCTGTTTTGCTAACTTCTCACACTCAGGCCAGCCTGCTCTTTGACAAGCAGACAGAGTTCGGCTTTTAACAATTCTGTTAGAGTGAGAGTGAGCTGGATGGGCACTGGCTTCTGCTCTAATGTTTTTATGAAGGTCTCTGCTGGACTGTTTTGGCAGGGTGGGGGCATCACCTCTGTCTGCCAAGGAAGGGTTCTCACTTGTGACAAGTGAGTGACATCGTCTCTAGAAAGTTACCCATCACCACGTGCATCTGTCTAAAGAAAAGAGCTGTCCATACAACACCCCCCCCCAGCTTAGATCCTCAAGCAGGAACTTTGATGGGCTTCAGCCTCTAAGAGCAGGAGGCCACCCAGGGGTCAGACGCACAAGGTGACATAGGTGCAGGTCTTTAGTTTCACATCATAGCTGGGTATAAGGGAGGGTAGGAAGGCTGACATCACTGGCACACAAGCATGTGAGATGGCTCCAGTGGACACCAGCATCGCTCCCTCAAGCAGATCTCTGGGAAAGCCTCAGGATGGATGACATCTCAGGAAGCCCAATTCATTCGGCACTCCTAGACCCAGGCTCACTTGCTGGCATAAAGCAACTTTATAAAGCCAAAACATGCACCAGAGCCGTGATTTTCTTTACTACATCATCTTGGTCTAGTCTGAGGCAGGGGCCACATCTTTTCTACCACACTAACTAGCGAGTGGCAGCTCCTCAGTGTTTCTGGGGGAGTCCAAACTGCCAATAATGCTTGGGTGCCAACTCAGAAACACTGCTGGCCACAGACAGCTGTGAAATGGGACAGCAACTCCCCAGCTCCCCCACCATTCCCCAACGGTGTCTGCTTCTCCCTCCCAGTGTCCACAAAACACCTCATAAGTCTTTCATTTTAAAGCTTTAAGAGAGAAGCTCCTTGGCTTTCCCAGGAGCTATGGCACCCCTCGCCCCTCAAGAGGCTTCTTTCTCTGGGCTCTCTTCATTTGCAGATACCTCTCAGAACACAGTTCTTTCTGGAATTTGCTAGGTAGCCCAGGACTGCTCACAATCCCTCTGGCTCAGTTTTCTAATGCTTTGAATTGTAGGTATTCACCACCATATCTGGCTTTTAAAACAATTGCTGGCCCTTCCTCTTCCTGGGCAATCTCTGTCTCTACCATCGCTGAAACTTGCAAAGCTTGTGTGGACTTGCAAAACCATCTCCAGTCTTGGCACCTCTGCCAGGACCCTTCAGATTGGATGCCAGTGCGTTATGAATGAGCAGTTCTCATTCACATTCTGCAGATGGGCACACAAGGAAACCCTGGGTCCTGGTTAGCTTCAATTACCAACTGAACACAGCCTGCAGTCACCTGAAGAGTCTCGACTTCAGAAATGCCTGAACAGACTGGCCTGTGGGCAAGTCTCAGGGGAGGGCCCAGGCCACTGTGGGCAGCACCAGTCCATGGGCAGGTACTGTGGGCTGTGTATGAAAGCTAGCTGAGCATGACGGAGTAGGGGCCAGCAGGCAGCATTCCTGCATGGTTTCTGCTGTACTTCCTGTCTGTGAGTGGAACAGCAAGCAGGCCTGCCTTGAGTTCCTGCCCTGGTCTCCCTCAGGGATGGACTGTGACCTAAGCTGAAATAAACCCTCTCTTCCCCTAGACTGCTTCTGGTCATGGTGTTTGTCACAGTCACGGAATGAGCTAGGACACTCGCTGTTACCTAGAACCAAGCACCTGCCTCCTCACCTGAGACTCCTGAGCACTGCAGGAGGCTGCTGCCAGGAGTGAGGAGCAGCTGGCCCACAGTGGCGCTCACAAGTTGTGGCTCCATCACTGAGCTAGAGAGAGAGAGGACAGCTCAGGAGAGGAGGGCCATG